AGATTGCGTCCAGACTCTGAAGCTGTGATGTTTAAAGCCCATTCATGTCAGCCTCGGGGCTTTTAGGGTTATCCTGTGGTGAGATTTACAGGGCGGCAGGGCGCAGGCTGTCCTGTGATGGGGTTAGGAGGAAAGGGGCACCCGGACCGGTGTCAGGTTGCTTGTGGGTCCTGAGTGCCATAGAATCTGGCCTGCACGGTAGAAGCTGGTCTCTCTAGGGAGGGAGCCGCGGTGGGCAGCAAGGGCCAGGCCCTGTCCCCTCATTCTTCGCTTACTATGCCGAACAGGTTGAACTTTACCTTGCAGGTGGCCAGAGCCACGTGCGTGGTATCATGTGGTCAGCTGTCTGTATTACAAGAGTAACTCCTGTGGGTGGCTGTGCAACCAGTGCATTTAAGAGGCAGACCTGGTGGCGGGGCCCGTGACACAGGACAGGGCGCTGAGGAGCAGTCTCCAGAAGCAGGGAGGCCTGTTGACCTCGCAGACTGTGGTGTGTTATCTGTGAAGGACCATAGTGGTGACTCATGGGCACTTGGGGAGACAGTCTGAGTCATCACGGTAGCAGGGGCGTTGTTTACTGGTGTGTGTGTGCATGAATCCTGATCCTGTCCCTGTGAGTGGGCGCAGTCATGTGGGTGGCCTATGTGTCGGTTTTTGTTGACAAGACTGCCGGACTCCAGAGCTCCTGGGCCCCACACTGGCCCCTCGCCCATACAACTCCCCTGCTAGTTGGGGTGTGTGTGTGTGTGTGTGTGTGTGTGTGTGTGTGTGTGTGTGTGTGTGTTGGGTGTTGGGTGTTTCGGGCAGCCAGTAGATAGACAGTGTGGACGAACCCCTAACCGTGGAGGTCGCCAGTTCCACACCAGGGCTCTCCCTGGGCTTTGTGGCTGGCCTGCCGTAACCCCGGTTTCCCCGTGGTCCTGGGAGCCCTCTAGCCAGCACAGGGACCGTGACCTGGCCGGGACGTGCAAGCCTCATAGAGGCCACGCAGAACCCCTTCCTGCTCTTCCCTCGTGGGCTTCCCTGGCCTCTGTGCAGAGTCGCCCCGTGTCCTCAGCCGCTCTCATCTTGCCCCAGGCTGACAGACAGACCATCGGTGCAGTGACCTTACTGTCTGTCTCCAGTAGGTAAAACAGTCCCTGGCACCTACTGAGTGCTAAACAGATACTTTTTTTTTCAACATTTATTTATTTTTGGGACAGAGAGAGACAGAGCATGAACGGGGGAGGGGCAGAGAGAGAGGGAGACACAGAATCGGAAACAGGCTCCAGGCTCCGAGCCATCAGCCCAGAGCCCGACGCGGGGCTCGAACTCACGGACCGCGAGATCGTGACCTGGCTGAAGTCGGACGCTCAACCGACTGCGCCACCCAGGCGCCCCAAACAGATACTTTTTAAATGAGTAAACGGATGAATTTAAGAAAGGGAACTGTGTCTGGTGGAATTTTATATTACCAGCCTCAGTTTTTCTGGTTACACAGTTGTAGCACCTGAAATATAATCGGAGGGGTTTGCTCCTGGATGAAATGAACCGTTGTCATCACCTTCTGTGTGCTGGGGCTTGGGGCTCAGAACCCAGTCCGAGGTGCCCTCTGCACATCCTAGCTGTCTGCTTGGGGAAGGTGCTTGGCCACTGACTGAACTTGAAGCCAGTAGCTTCCTTTATTACTGAATGAAACACTTTTAAAAGTGAGTCTATAGTTTTTCTGTGATTCATTTATACATCCATTAACACATCTGAAGGGTGAGGGCTGGTGATCGGAGCGTGGGGTGCTTGGGTGTTCGGGATTGAGAGAAACCATGACCAGGGAGGCCAGGGCAGGCCAGGTGCTTCAGCAGACAGGGGGCCGTTCCCTGTAGTGGAGCCACCTGGGGGTCTGACCCCACCCGGCACATGGCAGCAGGTGCTGGGCTCCAGGGCCTGACGTGTCCCAGCCCTGAGAGAACAGGACTATGTGGAACGGGAAGCCCTGGGCAGTTAGCCTTTGTCCTTCCACTTACAGGATCCCTTTGGCACCCCTGAGCGAGTGGAGCAGAGGGGCCAGTCCAGGGGTCTTGCAGCGAGAGCCCTGGATGGTGGCCAAGGTGCGTGGGGAGGAGAGGAAGCGGGAAGTCAAGGCTAATCCCACGTGTTTAGCTTGGGCAGCTGGATAGAGGGGTGCCTTGGAAGGAGCCAAGGAAACTGGGGGGCAGGAGCCTGGGGTGGCGCTCGGGTGGCAGGCAGGTGCTGGATGGGTGTGTCGCAGCCGAGGGCAGGTTGAAGCCGGCTTGCTGGGCGAGGCCCGGAGGCTAGCAGGAATGGGGCTGCGGAGGGGCGCTGCCCTGCTCCAGAACCTGCAGGGCGGAGACCTCGGCTGCCCCTGGCGATCATGCCTCTGCCTCCCAGGCCTCCCTTCCGCTCCGGGAGCTCGGCCTGCGTGCGTGCGGGGCCTTTTCCTCCACCAGGCATCCTCTGCGGTTGAACTTGGTTCCGAGTGACTGCCTGGGGTTAGCACGGACCCCACAGGTTAGGTTCAGGGCTCCGTCCCGCAAGACCGACCCCGCCCGGACGCCTCTACATCAGAAGACCCCTCGACGACCCCTCTTCGGGTTCAGCTTGCTAGAGCAGCTCACAGAGCTCAGGAACGTTCTTTGTAGCTCCCCAGCATATTCTAAAGGGTATGACTCAGGGACAGCCAGATGGAACGGGTGCAACCGGTGCAGTGTCCGGGAGGCAGACCTTCCGTGCCATCTCAGGGCACCTCTGTGTGCTCCCCGACCCCTTCGCCGAGGGTTTCTGTGGAGGTCGTCACACAGGCGTGACTGGTTGAGCCGTGGGCCGTGGGTGATGGGTCGGCCTCCAGCCCCCGTCCTCCCGCTGGGAGGGACGTTGGGGGGTGGGATGGAGAGTCCCAGCCCCGCAGCCCCCAGGTTGGCTCCCCCGGCAGCCGGCTGCAGAGTCCCCTCATAAGCCCAGGGGCGGAGAAACAGAAGGTACCCTTTCACCTGGGATCGTTTCAGGACCTGGGCACGAAAACTAAGCTAACAGCAGCTGCACCCCGTAGCTCCCGTTGCTCGGCGTGGTGAGGGTCTTCGGAGGTGTGTGCCGGGAACCGCGAATGAAGCCAACACGTATTCCTTACTACGTGGCGTAGCGCTGGGCCCCGCTGTCTCCACAGCCCTGTGCGGGCCCTCCGGACTCAGCTGCTCCTCTCTCTTGCAGAGTCGCCCCCAGACTGGCTGGGCCAGGGGCTACCAGGGCCTGTCACACGATGCTGAGGACAGTGTCCCCTCCACAGAGCAGGCCTGTGGGCCAGACCCAGCCTGCGCCGTCCGTGTCTGAGCTGAGGGGTTGGCGCAGAGCCCGTGTCCCACGGAGCCCTCGACACCCGCTGCCCTCTGTGGGAGGGGCTGGCCAGCGCCGTCCTACACGTCTCACTGCTCTTGTAGGAGGACCTTCGTGAGGGAGTCATTCAGGTCTGGTGTCGGTGCCGAGAAGATACTGGCTTCGCCTGGGAAATCGCCTTGCCTTTTCCTTACCAGACTCGTGGGCCCCGTGCTCGAGCCTGTTCTTGGTACTTTGTCCTCCGTCGTCTGAGACGCGCTGGTTGCGTGGCCTCTGTTGCCCGATTTTGATGGTTATCACGTTGTTTTCCCCTCTCCCTTTCTGTGTCCTAAGCACTGTTCTGTGAGCTCAGCTGACCTGTGCTCAAAACCTGGTCGAGTGTCTCTACTGTTGGCTGGGGTGGCTGAGCACATGGCACCCATTTCCTGTGAAAGGCACGTTCTTTCTGGGGTCCTGACAGTATCTGGGGATTTTCCAATACCGGCCAGGACCATCTTGACAGTTTCTCTTTCACTTTTTCTTCCCTCCCTTCCTTCCTTCCTTCCTTCCTTCCTTCCTTCCTTCCTTCCTTCCT